CAACTCATACACCGGATATTCCATATTTAATAATTTAGATTTTTAGAAGATTTGATTAAGATTTATAATTATGATTCTCCTATCATCTTTGTTTGATTTGTTTTTAACTGTTTTGAATCATCATATAATACATAAAATAAAATAAAAATCAATTTTTTTCTGCATATGCTGTAATTCGAAATTTTAAAAACGGACATATATTATCCAATTGACGAAAATGTGTGTTCAACGTTCTACATCGATTAAAATATTTAGACAATGATTCAGAATCATATCATAAATAAAAATATTAATAAAATAAATGAGTTTTTTGGCGGGATGAGTTTGGCGGGATGGGTTTTTGAATCAACAATAATAAAAAGATTAAAATATCATTAATCCGCCGCTTACGGATTTAATCCTTATTTTTTTTAATACAAATCACATGACGGGTTAAGAAATTACGGAACGGGTTATATTTCGGAAATGATTTATATGGTGGACGAATTTGAATCAATATTTATATACCGCTTTAATACGGGTTAAATCCTCAGTTTATTAATAATTATCTCGTTGACTCGTGGTATACCGTTACTTAATAACAATTGTAAACTATAATATAAATAAATATGTTATAAGGAGATACAATTTACAAAATATTTTTATACTAACTTTAAAATTAAATTATCCCGCGGTGTACCGCGGGTTAAATTCTAGTCATTGTGTAAAAAGATTAATATTATTATCATCATAACGCAAAACATAAGTTGTGGTTTAAAATTGGTGCAATAACATTGGCTTTTTTGAAGGCCTACACAATTGTGGTCTAGTAGTAAAGGAGAACTAGAAAAAGGTTGTAAGGAACTAACCCAAGTTCGATCCATTTTGGAGAAAAGTTGGAAGGAACTAAACCAAGTTCGATCCACATTGAAAACAAAAATCACATATGGGTGGAAAGTCTAGATTTGGGCCAAAGGCCTAAACAATTTATCTGTTAGTCAGTAATAGACGATCTGGCTATCCCTGACATTAGTCGGAAAGAATTCTAAACTCGGAACAGACAGTGTGGTGGCCCTTTGGAAAGAAGTCCACTCTGAAGCATTTCGGTGCGTTTCTATCCGGACTGGCCGGATCAGCCGATAAGGTTTATCAAAAAACATTGGCTTGAAGCTTAAGTAAAAATGATCATTGTTTTGTTAGTGTTGAAAAAAGTAAAAATGATTTGAGGTAACAAGATGATTCCTTCTAACCGCCTAAATTACAACTTTTTCAGCCCCTATATTCTTGTCTTACTTAACAATAACACCTTTTCTTTAACCGAATCTAGCTACTTCTACACCTATATGTCGTAAATCGTGTCTTCAAAATACACAGCGTATTTTTCACAAATTTTCAGTTGTGAAAACTTTTTATCCTAAAAGACTAAGTTAATACTTTTGAAAAGTCAAAGACCGTGTATCCCTTACGTAAATATCTTTAACAATAACCATCGAAAGGTAATAAAATTGGAAAAAAGAGTTAACATCATGTTGTTAAGAAAGGAGAAGTACATGAGACGAATACTGGGGACATTGATTGGTGAACAAGAAATTAGTATGTTTGGTGGAATTAGTTAGTGTCCTCTTCTTTCGTACCTTTAACCTCTCTATGTGCTAAATCTCTGAAAACGACATCATATGTTTAGAAATTAGCCGTACCTTTGTATATAGCAATGTGATATTGACCCCGCATCTGCAAATATGTTCATAGCTAGTCAACAACATGCTTTACTTGTCTAGATTTTGTGTGTTGTTCACTGATTATACCACTTTCCATTAACTTTTAAAAAGAATTTCGATTATTTTATCTAAAGATTTATAATCTAGTCATTCAGTTTTACAATTAGAAGTAAAGATGTTTTCATATGAGACCTTTTGGTGATAAACATATATAGATTAATTTTATTTTAGTACATAAAATATATTTTTTCCTCATAAAATATCTTCACTATCTGAATTTAAGCTTTCGTTTAATTATCCTTCGGAGAAGAAATCATGGTCTTTGAAAGGAAATGATAAATGACGATATCTTGGACTGTTACTTGCAAAATCTCTTGATTACTTATATTTAATTAATAGCATGAGAAGAGTATTTATTTGGTTTCATTTGTATCTTAATTCCATTAGTCAAAAGTGGGTACGAACCCTAACTAGGTTCACATTCTGTTGTCGATTTGTCAAACCCTCTCGTTACAAGTGGGATAATGAGGATTTGTCTATTTTTCTTTCGGTTTAATGGTTACTAACTTAGTAGCTAAGGGTTTTTATCTCACCAATATTTAGAATCCCGGAAAGATTGCACAAGACGAGACCCATTCCACGAAAATATGTCTCATGTAATGAAGATTGAAAACAGGTCACCTATTTTATATCTAAGAAAGAAGCAACTCAGTGACTTTGACCCAAAAAAAGCCAATTCAGGTGACCGAATCTTCAATTTGTTTTTAGTAGCCGAGTTTTTCTAGACAAAATCCCCAAACTAAACGTGTGGCGTTTATGTCAGATTGGCCAAACATGTAAATCTAGTGAGAAACTTTTCCATGTTATAACCCTATTACTATAAGCAAATTCGTACAAAATATTGGCTGTTTGCTTTCAAGATAGAGGAGGAATCTTGTGGAAGAATAAAATAGTGGGTAGCCCGAGAGACAGAGACATAACTAGTAACGAGATTTACATGTATCACGTATGTTGTTGATCGAACATATCCCGTGAAAGCTATGTATATTGTAGAGATTTCGACATACCAAAGGAGTGTGTGAGATTGAGTTTTCAACTTGGGTTTCTTTTAAAGAGAAATTGCATTGTATAACCATAAAAAAAATTATAATTAAATAAGTAACCATAAAAAAAAACTGGCTATAATATACCTTGTATAAACTATATATTGACCATCTTAACCTTGCCATTTGTTTCCATTTCTCCATCTGCCATCTGTCTCTATTTTCCATCTGCCATTGACATTAAAACATTAAACAATATTCTTTTTTTTTCTCTCTTTCAATTTCAAGCATAGTTGAGTTCTTTTTAAATTGATGCCATTTTTACTCCTCATATTTCTTTCCATTTCTTAATTTAGTGTCAATTTCATTTTTATGGTTTCAAAATTACAAAATAAATATTAGTATAAGAGAGGTCTCCGTTCAGTGAATTGAATTTGGATTTTAGAGAAGTGTTTCACAGAAAAGAGATATATGTTCATCATGTACTCCTTTCCTGAAGAAGTCAGTTTTGTTGGAATGATAAACGTAACAGCTTTTACTCGGATTTCAATCGAAGAATCCAATAAACTCGCATTCTTTTCCGATGTTTTTCACCTACCCAAAACCGTTCATTCAAAGTCCGGTTAAAATCGTGACTACACTCTCGGTGGCTACAACGAGTTTACAACGAACTCATCACCACTCCCACCTACCTATTCACCATGGTGCTTCCAAATCAACTAAATAACATGAATGTACTATACTATATTGTCGTTATGGAATTAGTTGTGTGATCAATAGAAATTTATACCCACTTTGAAGTTTCTCCGTCTTTATTTTGATTTGGTTTCTTGGATTTGTTCTTACAACTAACAAATTTAACGCTAAATATGTAACTAAGATGATCACAAACTATACGGTTTAAGTTGATACTATACTATTATTTTTGATACTATACTATTTTAATTATCTATAAACAAGTTTACAAGAAATTTTCCATCGTTCTATATAGAACATAAATCACTCTATTCTTTAATTTTACCGGTAGATAATTTATGTTGATTTTACATATTATATTCTTTATGATATATGTTTTTTTTACGTACGTTTAATTTGACCGCTTGGATTTCCTATATTGTATTTTTAGGGTATATCGTTCTTCTTTGGCGTACATTTAACTCAAAAATTTGAATCTTGTTTATTGTATCATTCAGAGTAAAGTGGTACTTATTTGACTTGCGTTTAAATTTATCTTTTGGGTTCCCTATATAGTATCTCTTAGGGTATAGTTTTTTTTTCGGCGTGTATTTAACACATATTTCTCAAAAAGTCGACATACGTATTCTTTTAAAGATAATTATAAAAATATATTTTTTTGATTTTGTGTTTATTCATAAGTTTTAAATTTTTTCCTTCAATTGGTTTATTTGATTTTTAAATTTGTTTTTGATTTTTAGTATGTTTATATAGAATGTTTTATGTTTTATACTATTTTCTTTTGTGTGTTTTGCATAGAATGAAACGTTTGATTTATAACCACTTTTTTATATTGTAAAACATTTATATAAATTTTAAAAAATTCAAAACACGATAATTCAGTATTTTTTTATGTTTCTTTAAATATAATCTGGAGTTCGAATCAGTTTGTTTTAATGAAATTACAGCAAAACAAAACTGAAGAGGGGTAAGTAAATAATTTATCCATAAAAGAGAAGAAACATCTTACGTGGCTCCTAGTCTCTTTCCTGATAGCTTTTCACACCAAATGAGGGCATTTTCGTCCTAAACGAAACGAAATGGTTACTTGTTTTGTTTCTCACTTTAACCTGCTATATTCTTAATTTCTTTTGTCATTTTGGTTATACAGCTAATTCACCCTCTTTTAAATTCCATATAAATCTATTAACTTTGTAACACCTTTGATTCGAGTTTGGAAAAAAACAAAACATTGCATTCCCAAAAAGTAGATCCGGTTGTCTACTACAATTCTTGTGTGTGGTTCTCTAAGAGGATAAAGAAAATCTCCCGAGGTCATATACTCATATCAGATTTTGAATTACTACTAATAGTTTGAAATGTATTCAAAACAAAGACAAACATTTCTTCTTTAAGTTGTTGAATTTACTCAATATCATCCAAAATTCCTCAAAATGATCCTAAAATACCAAACTCGAATCTTAGTGATCAGAAAGAAAAACATAGATCACCTCATAATGTCTATGCATGCAAATTTTCCATTCTCTCATTATTCTTCACTAATTAGTCTAAACCATGTTTGTGATAAGAGCAACAAGAGTATCAAATTGATTAAAAGTAAATGGGATCTTACAATGTGTGAAAATACTTGTTCTGAATACAAGACAAGAATACATCTTTAGATCTAAATCTTCCACAGGCTTCATAATCTATACTCAAAACTTTACCACTAGGAATACGAAAATACGAATGCCTTGTAGGATCAAACTCGTGCTGCAACAACAGAAGCAGCAGCAGAATTACCAATGAAAGAGAGTAAACCAGCATTAGCAGGCTCTTGATCATCCAAGAACAAATCATCAGGAACCCTAAACGCACCGTGTAAGCAAACAATCGCGATTCCAATCGTGAAAGCCGATGTTAACAAAGATCCAACACTCGTCATAAACACAACCACAATCGTAGTCAAAACCAGAGCAAGCAAAGTCTCACGATCTGAGAATGTTCGACCAAAGAGAACCAAAGGCTGATCTGAAGATCGGAAGAGGTAGAGAAACATCCACGAGCCTAAGAGCGAGAGGAGGACGAGAAGAGAGAATGGATGCGATAGGAGGGAGAAAGCGAGGACTAAGGAGACGATTGCGGAGTAATTGACCTTGAAGTAAGCCAGATTCTTACGGATCCGGGAGAAGGAATCGGTCAGAGAGTCAGGTCTAGCGAAGGAGCTCCGATCTACGAGTTCTAGCCATGGACGGCGTTGAGAGAGGCTTTCGCGGAGAGAGGATGAGAGACGTGAGAGGAATGTACGGAAGGCGTGAGAATTGATTGGAGGTTGAGATTGAGTGGCTGCTTGCTGGTTGGTCACGGGAAGAATCGCCGGAGAAGATGACATTATTGGTGGTGTCGGTGAGTGTGTGAATTTTTTTGTTCCGATTTTAGTGGAAACTGAAGGAAGTTGCGGTAAAACCGTGTTAGATATTCTAAAGGCCTAATTTTAATGGGCCTATAATGTTGGAAGAGGCCCAATCATATCAAGTTGGAGTTGGTGGCAAAATTTGTAATTATATCATCATCTCGTTGAACAAGTGAAAGCGTGAAACAATCACGACTCACGAGTGACGATGGATGGTTGCTAAAGATATCATGTATTAACAACTGTGAAAGAACATAAAAGTTTTTCATATTTATTTAAGTATCGAAACACATAACTATTAACTAGATAAAGACGAAGAAAACATTATTGAGTAGAATTAATAGAGGCATCGAATAACAATATTCTTCGGCCTAATCAAGAATATTTATTGGAAATTCGGGTTGATTTCCACATATGGAAGAATCTTGAATAGCACGTACTTTATCAATTTCAACAAATAATTATATCCATCTTAACGGACTTTAGCTACTCTAGTTAGCATCTAAACCTTCTTCCTTTACGTTATCTAATAATTTCCAGGACTCTTAATCATTATTACATTTCAAATTTTCAATATTTTACTAAAGAGACGTCTCGTGTTCCTGCGTAGCTCTATATTTTCTGGTTTACGTAGAACGATTTGTACACTCGTTCAACGAAACCAATCATTCTTTTGGTAAATTATATATATATCTTCAATCTTTCAAATCCAATTAGTTTACTTTAGCTTACCTTTGGAAAAAAATAAGCGAATCTTTCTTCCTTTTCTTTTCTTCCACTCATTAACATGTTCTCTCTATATATACATGATAAATATATATAGTCTTCTAATAATACTTTCTATACCACACATATCAAGATTAGCTTTAATGGCTTCTTGTGACACACCTGATGCATTTGCTTGGCTTCAAACTCTTCCTCCTCTCTCTCAATGGAAAAGAAATTCAATGTCCATGTGTATTTGCTCTCCAAATTCATCACACCCATCTTTGAACTTCTCTCTTACTCGTACCCCTCAATCTCCAAACTTTTTCACCTTCTCGATAGTAGCCAATTTCAAGATTCCTATTACTCTCTTTGTTTCTAAGCCTTTCAGAACCATTACCACTAACTCAACTACTTTCCTAAATGAAAATGTCATCTCTACTCTATTGATGGGTTTTGTCGACGTAGTTCTCAACTATAACGTCAAGAGAGCCACTTGTTCAATCCAACTCCAAAACCTAGGCTCTACTTCTAACCTCAAAGACGTTTTCAACCTCGCGTTCTTCACTTTCGTGTTCCTCATCTGCATATACGAAGCGCCAACGAGCCTACGAACAACTTGTCTCAAAACGGTGAAAGATCAGCTGGTAACTTGTAGGTCAAGGCAGGGCTCTAAGTTGCTCATGGTCCAACTAGGCTCTAACCTTGAAGAACAATGGATGAGATCGCTGAATCTTGCGATAACCAACTGGATCATCGAGATTAAAGCGTTTCAGCATCTCAAGTCTCCTACTCCTTTGTTTTCTTATGCTTTCTCCACTCAAGGTTTGTGGAAAGTTCATATGTATTGTCCTGTGGTAGCAATGGAAATGGAGAGCGTAAATAGTGCACTGCACGACGAGAGATTGTTCTTCTCGCTCAACTATCATCAACTTGAAGGTGTAATCCAATTCAACCACAAGATTTACGTTCGTGAAAAGTGGTTTAACATCGCAGTGAATATTGACAACGTCAGGTATCGTATTTAACTCAACTCTCAAGTGATTAATTTTTTTTTGTTATCTAATTTTTTTTATAACTAGGTGCGACATAATAAGGCTTGTGAACGAGAAACTTCTATCGGAACGGGGCATGGGAACAGAGGAAAAACATTTTCCATCACGAATATCATTGCTACTAACACCAACGATTCAATCAAACATCTTAATGGTATCCGTACAAAAATCTTCAGAAAACCCATTGACAGAATTCGAAGTAGAGAAAGGCATAGAAGCAACAATAGATCCACCAAACACATTCTTTGGACTGAAAGTCTCAGCCAACGAGACCACAACAAAAAGCATGAAGCCATGGAAGTTCGAGGAATGGGTTCATGGTTATAGCGCCAATCTCACTTGGTTTCTCCATGATCTTGACGATGGAAGAGAAGTTTCATCCTCTAAACCATCGAAGGTCTCGATGATGAACCCTCGAGCTTGGTTCAAGAACAGGTACTCGAGCGCGTTTAGACCGTTCACGAAGCAAGGAGGAGTTGTGTTTGCAGGAGATAGTTATGGGCAAAGCGTTTTGTGGAAAGTAGATAAAACGGCTATTGGGAAAGTAATGGAGTTTGAGGTTAAAGGTTGCGTTTGGTTGACATATTGGCCTAACAAGCATCATACTTTTTATAGTGATACTAGAAAGTTGGAATTTAAGGAGATGCTTTACCTCAATCTTCCTTAGATTTTCGTTTTCTTTTCTTACTTTTTCGTTAATTTTGTAAAATAATAATTATGATGGAATTGGTGAATTTAGAAACTATTGTGATTTTAATTGAATGATCGTCGACGTTTCTAATGACTTCACCGACATAAAGAAGAAAAAAGCTTGGTATAATAAAAGAATAACAAAGTCGCATATAATCCATAGTTTTTTTTCCGTCGTTGTTATCCATAAATTTATTTTTCAACAATATTCGTATAATTTGGTGGATCTAACGTAAAATCATGTGAAAGAAAAAAAAAATGAAAAATTGGAGCCACACAAGAGCTGGCAATAAAAAATAAAAAAAAAGTCTCTATTTGTCACTCAAAGCAATGCAAAAAGCAATGCAAAAAGCTGACGTGTACCAATGAAGCCCACGACCAATGGGCTCTTGGCTTCCTCCTTCCCGTTTCCGAGATTCCGCGGCCAACTTCCGATTACCTTCTCAGCCAATAATAATCAGAAGAAGAAGAAGTATCTCCCAAATCCAAACGTCGTCACTCTTTGCCTCCACTCTGATTCCGATGTCTCCTCCTCTCAAATCGCCGTCACTCGCCGCGCAATTCTCGTCGCACCACCGCTCTTCGCCGCCGCTGCTTCGTTGTTTCTCTCTATTTCCTCAGCTGCTTCTGCTGAGACTTCGACGGAATCAGTAGCTCTTCCTCCTCCTCCTCCTGTTGCCGTCACTGCTCCTCCTCCGCCGCCTGTGGAGAAGGAAGAGTTGATAACTTCTAGAATCTATGACGCGTCTGTGCTTGGTGAGCCGATGGCTGTTGGGAAAGATAAGAAGAGAGTTTGGGAGAAGTTGTTGAATGCGAGGATTGTGTATCTCGGAGAAGCAGAACAAGTGCCTACAAGAGACGACAAGGTTCTCGAGCTCGAAATCGTGAGGAATTTGAGGAAGCGATGTATCGAGAGCGATCGTCAGTTATCTTTGGCATTGGAAGCATTTCCTCTTGATTTGCAGGAACAGTTAAATCAATACATGGATAAGAGGTTTGCTTCTAGTTGCTTCTCTGCAAATTCGTTAATTGCAATGTGTTTTTGATTCCAATTGTTCTTGGATTGGTTGTAGGATGGATGGAGATGTATTGAAGTCGTATGTGTCACATTGGCCGGTTCAACGTTGGCAAGAGTATGAGCCTCTGTTAAGTTACTGTCGCGATAACGCAGTTAAACTCATTGCTTGTGGCACTCCGCTCAAGGTAGAGTCTGATACTACTATATTGTCATCAAATCCTGAGCCTTTTGATCCTAAGCAATGTTGTTCTGGATCTTTCTGACTGAAGATTATGCATTTTTTTAATTGTTAGTCTGATGAGAATTAGCTGCACACTGCTTAATTTGATGCAGGTTTTAAGAACTGTCCAAGCTGAGGGTATCCGTGGTCTATCAGAGTCTGAGCGTAAATTATACACTCCTCCTGCGGGTTCAGGGTTTATCTCAGGGTTTACTTCCTTCTCTCGCAGTTCTTCACTCAATACGAATCCCCTCACACAGATTGTTCCATTTGGACCGAGCTCTTATTTGTCGGCGCAAACTAGAGTTGTTGAAGACCATACAATGTCACAAGTTATCTTACAAGCAGTTGCAGATGGAGGTGGAACTGGTCTGCTGGTAGTGGTGACAGGGGCAAACCATGTTGAGTATGGGTCAAGAGGAACAGGATTGCCGGCAAGGATCTCTAGGAAGATTCCGAAGAAAAGTCAACTTGTTGTATTACTTGATCCTGAAAGGCAGTTCTTGCGGAAAGAGGGTGAATCACCAGTTGCTGATTTCTTGTGGTATTCTGCGGCCAGACCCTGCAGCAGAAACTGCTTTGACCGAGCAGAAATCGCTCGGGTAATGAATGCGGCTGGTAGGAGACGAGATGCCCTTCCCCAGGTAGGTTTGCTATGATTGCTTTAATGAGACGGACTCTATGTACGATTGTTACTTACTGTATCTGACTCACTTCATTAAACACTCAGTTTATTCTGCCCTATTTTTTTTGCTTTTTACAGTTGAGTTTTACTTTCTTTTGCTCACTTTGCTCTTATGTCATTAGTTCATGCTGATAGAATTTTTTCCATTGTTCCAGGACATTCAAAAAGGATTAGACCTTGGTCTGGTGTCACCTGAGATTCTGCAGAATTTCTTTGATTTGGAGCACTATCCTCTTATTTCAGAGCTTACACAGCGGTTCCAGGTACATCCATTCCGGAAGATATTCCTCTAGTGAAATTTTGTCTTCGAATGTGCTTTTCACTAAATAATGTGTTATAGCCTTCGTATCCTTCCATTGTACATTACCTTGTCCTGTATTTATCTTCTCTAGCCAGAGTTAATGATAGCTTCAACTGGTTAGTAAAACCCTACTTATGATGATCTTCTGTGTTACAGGGTTTCCGAGAAAGGTTGTTGGCAGATCCCAAATTCTTGAATAGATTAGCTATTGAAGAAGCTATATCGATAACAACGACACTTGTAGCTCAATATGAGAAGCGGAAAGAAAACTTCTTTGAAGAACTCGACTATGTTATTACTGATAGCGTAAGAGCATCAGTTGTTGATTTTTTCACAGTTTGGCTGCCTGCACCAACCTTGTCTTTTATCTCATACGCTGATGAGAAAATTGGACCAAACAGCATAGATGCCCTAAAAGGCCTCCTAGGATCCATACCTGACAATGCATTTCAAAAAAGTCTTGGTCAACAAGAGTGGACTCTGAATCTTAGGATTGCTTCAGTTATTGTCGGTGGCTTGAAGCTTGCTGGTGTTGGAGTTGTTTCCAGTTTTGCAGCTGTGGGATCTTCAAATGCTTTGTATGCAATACGAAAATTCATTAAACCAGAGTTGGGTGTTGGTGAGCAAGCAAAGAGGTCTCCTATGCTGAAGACGGCCCTTGTGTATGGAGGTTATCTGGGAACATCTTCAAATATCCGTTATCAGGTATGATGATGTGTGGTGCTTAACATGTCCATTTAATGAATGAGAGATAATAATGAAAAGTAGTTAAAGTTGCTTTATGACCACAGCAATATATTATGCTTTTGTATCTTATAGCCAAAGAAGATCTTTTGATGAAGGACAATATGCTTTGAATTTATGCCTCAAAATCAAATTACATTCAATTGCAGATAATCGCTGGGTTAATAGAGCATCGCATTTCTGACGAGCTTTCTTCTCAACCTCTACTTGTAAACATGATTTCATTTGTTGTTCGAGTAGCTAACTCCTACTTTGGAACTCAGGTATGATCTCTTCTTGACTTCTTTGTCTCTTCAAACCAAACATCGCATATTCTTCTTTTGGTTAATTCTTGATATACCCTTTAACTTCATTCCAACATTTTCATAAAAACGCAGCAATGGATTGATCTTGCGCGCTCTACGGGTCTGCAGACTCAGAAAAGTGTCGCAACTTCCAACCAAATCCCCGAGGTTGCGAGCCAATCTACAGTGGAATACAGTACAACTGAAGAGGCAAGTATCGATGATCTCAAGAATCAATGATATTCATGCGGCTATGTGTCTAGGTACCAACTGGTATATGTTTATAAAAGCTTTTTGGTCGTATTGGAGGGAAATATATATTCATTTGAGTTGTATTTTGTATCTTAGCTTATGGGAAATAATGATTCGTGAATAAAATCTCTTCAATTAGTCATGTTGATTTGCAATAATTGCACATTGCTTTTTTCCAAATTTGACATCATTCATCATGTACTGTACAGTCATGAATTGCTTACAGTCGTAGCTCTGATCAATTTGAATATTGTTGAGAAGAGTGGGAAATGGTTTCTCAGATGGCATACATAACTGTTTTGAACTATACAATTGAAGCTGTCAGCCGACTATACCTTTTGAAGTTGGTAAGAATAGGTTGAACAGATAGTAAGATGAAGAACTTGCCTGTAGTAATTTGCAGAGATGATAGCTCTTGAATAAGGGTGTCTCTGACCTTTTGCAAGGCTGTATGCAATGCGGATCAAATATCATTACTCTTTTGAGTTTGCGGATATATGAAATAGAAACCCAATAACACATTGAATCTGGCGATGGCATACCACTTTCTTGGTTTTGCCTTTGGAATCTATCTAACTGAGATAGAAAAATTCAGGAATCCGCCTACGTAGATATGTGAAAGGCGATTCAGGCCTTTTGTGTTGCTGTCATGCTTTTGGTTTGTCATTTCCAGCATTTTGAGACCCTGCTTGATGCAGCAACCAACTTCAAAGTACGTACACAAGTTTCTGAATATTCAATGCAGTGTGATTGCATGCTCTTGTTCACACACATACAGTGTTTACCATGAAATTACATATACACATACAGTGTTTACCATGAAATTACATATATATATATATATATATATATATATATTTAGGTGCACTTATGATGAGGCAAATAGTTACACAATGATTGGTCTCATGTACGATGGTAAAGTAGTTTGAGTATCCACTTATTTAGTTTCTCTGATCCAATTATATTTAGGGAACTCATTCTAATAGGAAATTCTAAGGGATACATGTAAAAATAAGTAATTATCAGAGTCATAAACTGCATGGTTACTGTGAAGCACTTCTATTAAAAAATGTTGAGATCTAAACCAGATCCTCTCCATTTCAGGTCAGCAATGTCTTCAAGCTCCTTCATCATCTCTCGTGTCAAATGATTCTTCCAATCTCCGACCACACCTTTCCTGATATACTTTGTTCCAACAAAAAGAAAAAAGAGAAAAAAAGAAACAACGGTGAAGAAGAGAACACAAATATAATAATTGTATTGATATGAGTCCCTCATGGTTGGATATGTAAATTTTAGTAGTTATTAAAGGTTTTTAGACTTTTCTTCCAGATTTTGATTTAAAAAAATTGTTAAAAGAAAATAAAAAATATAACTTTTCCGAGAAAGTAGGTTTCTAGCCATTGTTTTGAGAGTCCACTGTCCTTCCTCTTTGGGATTCTCTTCTGGTAGGTATTAGGAAAGATCGAAACTTTTTGGATTCCCTGAAAGATGGGTAACGCTCTTACGTTTCTCTACGGAAAATGCTGCAAACCCACAACGACCGACGACTCTCTCGGTCCTCACGGCATCTCCGCCGCCACCGTCGGTGTTTCAGCTCTAGCTCACGACCTTTTCAACTTCGAGATCACTTCCCAGGTTTTAATTTTCTCACTGAAACTTCCAAGTGTCCTTTGCTTCTGCTGCTTTCATTTGTTTTCCAGTGATCTTTAAGCTAATTCAGTTTTCTTGTAGGTTCCTGAAGGGCTTGGGAGGTATGTTCAGTCGTCTAGAAAAGCTCAAGCAAACTGGTAAAATAACACAAGATTGGTTTGTAGTATAAAGATGTGAACTTTGTTGTGTAATCAATCTGTTTGTCATGTATTGTAACATTTGTGAAGGTATAGAAAAATACATGAGGCATGGAAGCAAGCAAAACCTCCACCACAGACAGCAGAGGAAGCTTCTAGGCTTGTCATTGAGATCTTAAAAAGGAATCAGAAAGCTGATGTTGAGGTATGGTTTATGAAATGAGTAGCAAGAACAGATGTTTCGAAACATTTATGAGAATTGGAAGAGATTTATGTGATTGTGTTGTTTATGAAACAGGGACTTTTGTCTTTCTATGGTCTCCCTTGGTCTCATACTCTAGTTGAAGTCTATGTTGAAGCTCCTGTGTCTTCTTTGCCTGAAGGGGTTCGTTTCGAATTTCAGACACTTCCGGTTAGAATTAATTTCAGTTTAGATTAGAAAGAACAACAACTCGTTTTGGGATTTGATAATGTTGCTGATCAAGTTTGTGTGATGGAAAACAAGGTGGATCCAAAAGCTGTGGCAGATGGAGACACCATCACAGTGTATGTCCGTGCTTCAGAGCCGGTAGTGTCATCTTATGTTCCAAGGGAAGTCAATCTTGCAGCGGTTCAAAGAGCAAAAGCACGTGAGAAGAGGAATTACCCAAAAGCAGACGAACTTCACCAAAAGATCATTGATTCTGGTTACAGGGTACTAAATATTGATAATGAGGAAGTGCTTGCTCGGAAGTTCAGAATTAGACTAAGGTAAAAAATCACTCTTTTCCTTTAAGAGAAGTTGAATTAGATCTGCCATGGATTCTTTTTTTAGTGAAGCTGTTTGGTGATGGAAAAGTAAATAGGGGAATAGATGCACCAGAAAGCCAAATGCCATTTGGGAAAGAGGCACAACAAGGGCTCCTTAAGATTGTTGGAAGGAAAAGCTTGAAAGTGTTAGTTTATGGAGAAGATCAATATGGGCGATGCGTAGCTGATTTATACTGCAATGGGATTTTTGTCCAGGTAATAAAAGTACTACTCTATATCTTTCCCTTCTGCTCTTATAAAACTTTGTTTTAACCGGTTTTCGGTTTCTATGTAGGAGGCAATGCTAAAGAAAGGGCTTGCTTGGCATTACGTAGCTTATGACAAGCGCCCGGTTCTCGCAAAGGCAAGATTAGTAGAGTTTGTTTTGTATATACTACAATTCTCTTTCGTTTGTTGGCATAGTGATTTTGAGTATTTATGGTTCTTTTTATGTGAAATCAATCAGTGGGAAAAGGAGGCAAGGCAGAAGCGTATTGGCTTGTGGGCTTCTTCAAATCCAGAGAAGCCATGGGACTGGAGAAAGAATAATAGGCGTGAGTAGTCAAGCTACTCTGTTTGGACGAAAACACCAACGCAGTAATCAGCGTTTAAAACAATTAAGGTTTGTGATTGTTGAGGGTTTTTCTACAATTCCTCAATCCCGTTCTGTTGTAAGATGTGTGTAAATGGTGTGTGTGCATTCATCCTATGTTTGATGAGACATGTCACAAAACCAAGTAGAGATATTATAGATGAAAATAAGTAATTGAGTACTCTAAAACCCAAAGAAGGGTATGGACAAATGGAGTATGAACCAACACATGTGATAATTCTCAAATAGTACAACTTCACTGAATAAAAATATCTTTAGGTTAAGTCATCGTCCTCAAGTTCCTTCGCCTTCAGCTTCTCCTTAACCCTTAATAACAATGTTGCCTTCCAGGTGTCCTGCAACATATAGTTGTATTAAGTCGGTTTTATAAACGATTTATTCGACTTTTTGTGAACTCTAGATAAAGATTGGGGTCTCGAACCAGAGGTGTCATGCTATCAAATTCCTTGACAACATCTGTGAACTGTGCGACATCTTCCTCATCAATGGTTCTAGCAATGTTCTGTTCATGCAAAGAAAATGTCAAACCAGAACTAACAAGGCTTTGTGGTGAAAGCTAATCAATAAAGAACTTTAAACCTACCGCCAAAAACTTGCATTCTCGTGTTCCTGAAAAAGTTGGATCCAAATCCTGCAGAAAAAACAAATGTTATATTCCCTTGATATAGTCCCAAGATCTCTCCAAAAATGTTACATGATGGATATATTTTGTGTATAAAGCAGAACCTGATATTTCTCCAAGGCATTGGTAATGGAAACAACATCGCCTTTGCATAGGTGACAAATACCAGCGTTAAGAAGATGCCCTTTGACTCCATACTTAAGCAAGTTATTGTTGAGGGAATATTGGGCTACTTCTTCATACATCTTTATTGCCTTCTCATATCTGACAAAGTATACAGAGAGTCAGAGAACACATTAGTAAAAACATTTCTTGTAGCAGGTTCCATAGTTCACCAATCCTTTGACTTGTAAGACAAAAGAAAGCAAAGAGATAAGCTAGAGAAGATCTTACTGTTGTAGTTGGGCAGCATATTGGGCGATCTTTAGCTTGCACTGGTTAGCAGAACTAGATACTTCTTCACTTTGGAAAAACTCAGCTGCCTTTTCAAAATAAGTAATAGCTTGTTTGATGTTCTGATCAGATTCGTAGTACTCAGCAATTTCCTGCCATTGTACAAAGCAATTAACTAAACCACTTAGTATGAAAGAAAAAAGTACCAAAACATAGCATCTTACTACTCTGTTCAAAGCATAACCATCACAATGTAAATGAAACCATATTTTTCAAATCTAACAACTTAAGAGTTATATATTATCTTGCACAGAAGAAAGACATAGTAGTTACCTTATAGTATCTTGCAGCCATGCTAAGTCTTCCTATCTCGCAATATATATTCACTGCCTGCTCTAAACAAGATGCCGCTTCTGCAAAAATGGTCATGCTTATATCAAGAAAACGAAAGAGATGAAGATTAGCTTTTGGCTACACTAAATATATACTAACAAAAAGGGACACAAACCATTTGTGTTTACTTTCTTGTAGTTTTTCGCAGCTTCAGTATATGCGTTTGCAGCATCATGTTTGTTTTCTGACTGCAAATTGTAGAGCAAAATCATCATCATGGACGTTTTGCAAAAGAAATGTAGCCAGAGACTTTTACCTTTAGAAAACAGTTAGCCCGTTTCACATTAGCTTTTCCTGCTTGATCCCCTAAACAAATCACACAAGAGAATGTAACAAACCTCAAGGAAACATAAACCTCAATTTTCACAGATTTCTCTTCATATAAACCTAAACCTCATTATTTTCTTAAGTCTCAAGTATTAAGCTGATAAATTATGTGATCCTGGATTCTCTATAGCAATCAATCAAACACATTATACCCTAATGATCAAACACACAGATCTCTCAGAAAACAGAACATTCAAATGTAGAAAACGAAGTATAAGTACATGACTTGGCGAGCTTGTAGGAATTAGCTGCATCACCGAGAAGTTGAGCAGCATCATCGTACTTAGAACCGAACAAACACCAACCATTGAGCTTCTTGTCTGCTTTCTTCTCAAATTCCTTTGCTTTCACCAACTGATCACCCATTTCTTCCATATGATCTTTCCTTCTTCGGAGATTCTTTGCTTTTCTTCTTCCTTAAGAGAAGAAATTGCTTTGACAAAATTGTTCGGAGCCTAAAATCTGAGTTTCATTAATTCGAAAATGTTTTACAACCGATTTACGTGGGCCTTTTTATTAATGGGCTTTATTTTGATTAAGGAACAGCCCAAATGTAATTTGGGAGCGATTTAGATTTATTTTTCCGATTTGTTTTATAATTGTATAGAGGGAGACACATGCAGATATTGTTGACTTCTGTCGTTATCTACAGAGAACTAGTCTATATGATTACTATATTTAAATTGTAAGTCGGACGAAAATTTTATTATAATAATTATAAATTTATTAGCTTAATAAAAAAAATTTATTATTGACTATTCTGATTCTGACGATGACATACTGAATCACTAGAAAGTTTATTTAACCCAAAAAAAAAAATCACTAGAAATTAATATACTTTTAAAAATAATTTATTACAAACAAGTTTGAAATTCCAAAAAATATCACTATTTCCTTTAAAAATCAAATATCACAAATTTATGTTTTAACTTTTAAATGAGTTTTTAAAAGCTTAGTAGAATTACTAAATTATTTCAGATATTTTCCTATAAGAAATTTCTACAAAATATATTTTGTGGTAGTTTTTTTGTGTAAAACTTATTTGTAAATTATGCGACAGTGGCTATAAATTATATGATTACGATGCCACGTAAGATTGACGTCGTTAATCATCTCTTCTTCTCTCACAAATCAATAATCATCACATTACCATTTCCTCTTCGCCGGGGAAAATTCTGCTTCTCCGGTAGTATAAAGAAAATGTCTCCTGCGATTAAAGCACCGCTCTTACCAAACCAAGAGCCTTCATCATCATCATCGGAGAACCATGGATCATTCGCCGGAGCGGTGTTTAACATCTCAACAAGCATCGTCGGAGCTGGAATTATGGCGATTCCGGCGGCTTTCAAAGTTCTGGGTGTAATCCCATCTCTCTCGATAATCGTAATCATAGCTTGGCTCTCAAATGTATCAGCTGGGTTTTTAATGAAATCTAGTCTCGCCGGAGAATCCACGACTTATGCCGGCGTAATGAAAGAATCGTTCGGAAAATCTGGTGCCGTCGCTGTTACGATTGTTACAATGGTTGTGACTTTTGGGTCTATGATTATTTTCTCGATTATTATAGGTACTTTGATTCTGTCTCAAAAAAAAATCTGAAATTTGTCACAAACCTTAAACCCTTTTGAATTGATTCAGCGATTGTTTCTTCTCTTAGGTGATGTTCTTTCTGGTAATGAAAAAGATGGAATCATACATTTAGGTCTTCTTCAAGAATGGTTTGGTTCTCATTGGTGGAATACGAGATTCTTTGGTTTGTTGTTCATTTTTGTCTTCCTCTTGCTTCCTTTAGTCTTATGCAGACGTGTAGGTACATTTCTTATACCAAAGACTTATCTTTGCCTCAATCTATCAATGCATATTGGTTTGATGATTTTGTCTGTTCATGTTTCCTGTAGAAAGATTAGCATTAAGTTCTGCAATTTCGTTTCTGCTTGCGTTACTCTTTGTTGTTATAAGCTCGGTGTTAGCGATTATTGCACTAGTGCAAGGGAAGACAAAGCCTCCGAGACTCTTCCCAGAACTCAACGATGGTGGATTATCGTTTTTCAGTCTCTTCACTGCTTCCCCTGTCATTGTAACAGCTTTCACATTTCATTTCAATGGTAACAACCAAGAACCAAGAACCGATCTTTTACTCCAAATCATACACTGTTCTCTTTTGCTGGTTGTTGAAGTTAAGGTTTTTTTTAAAAACATTATTGCAGTCCATCCAGTAGCATTTGAACTCAAAGATCCATTAGATGTGCTTTCAGCAACACGGATCTCTGTGATTCTGTGTGCTGCGATCTACTCAGCCACTGGTCTCTTTTGTTACCTTCTGTTTGGGGATTCCACCATGACAGATGTTCTAATGAACTTTGATCAAAGCACCAGTTCTTCCATTGGTTCGTTACTAAATGACATTGTTAGACTCAGCTACGCGATTCACCTCATGCTTGTGTTTCCTCTGCTCAACTTCTCGCTTAGAGCCAACCTCGACGAACTCTTGTTCCCTATGAAGCTTTCTTTAGTGGAAGACAACAAAAGATTCTTCGGAATCACTTTTCCATTACTGATATCTTGTTTCTTGGGTGCGATTGCAATACCGGACATTTGGTACTTCTTTCAGTTCTTGGGATCAACTTCTACAGTCTCTATAGCATTCATCTTTCCAGCTGCAATTGTCCTTAGGTATCTTACCCTTTTTGATTAATTTCTCCTGTAAATCTGAATGAATCAAGTTTAAATCTTAGCAGTTGTTTTGAAAATTGGCAGGAATGTAAATGGTTTCTCGACTTTAAGAGAGAAGATTGTAGCTTCAGTAATGCTTGTTCTTGCTGTTGCCACAAGTATCATTGCCATTTCCACAAATATATACACTTTCACAGCAACAGAAGAAACATGAAAAGCTTTCAGGAGTCCCTTCTCTTCAAGAATTTGTTAGATGGTAGCGAGCTTGTGTTGCATTTATTCGTATCTATATGTAAAATAGGTTTGTAAGAAGTGTAGTGTTTAATAGCAACTTCAGGAAAAATGTGTGTATTCGGAAAAATATGAAAGCAAAGTTTTTAAGCACCAATACTCAAAATCTCCTCTACTATATGCTTTTTGTCTCGAAAATCACATGTAATTGAATTGGTAGCAAAATCACATGTAACTTTTTTTCACCAAATCTTAGCTTGATTCACGGACCCCAATCAATTACTTCATCAAAGAGATTATAACCAGTAGGAGCAATTGGATTGGTAGCAAAATCTTTTGTTTTTTCTTCATAAACTCAAAATTTGACAACATTAAAACCAACTTTATGTTAAAACACAAGATATATGAGTCGATTGAGACAGTATTTGTTGTTGTTTTCTTCCAAAAGCTTATCTCAAACAAAGCCGTAGACAGTGAGAAGAGTTCCTAAAACCTGCACAAATCAAGATCACAGTAAGAACTCAGTATATTCTTACTTTGTTTCACTGTATGAGTCATTGCTGTAAAAACTGACCTTCTAATTTGTTTTGAGGGAACAAGTATTCCTCGCTTCTCGAGGCTCTTGAATCGATCTCTTGCAAGAGTGCAACATGCCTTTTAAAATAGAAAGGATGACTTCTTCAGTTTTTTAGCTACCAAGAAAATTCACAAGGACCAAAAACGTTGGTTTCAGGGAACAAAGAGTATACCTTCAGCTTACGAAGTGACCCAGTCATCTCTTCTGTCAAGAGGACTTGAACTGGAGGAGCCTCAAATCTGAAACAAACAATAGTCAATTTTCCGAAGTCCAATTTTCAGAACTACAAATATCATTTGATCAGAATGAGTACTAGTGAGCTTGAAAATATAACAAAAAAAGTATAAGTGTAAAGAAGGATTTAGTTTCATACTTGTACTTTCCCAACCGAGGAGGACGTATCTTCAGCACTTCCTCCTTGGCAATGACCCGTCGTAAATGTTTATTCTGTTTATCCTCATCTTCTCTGGCTATTTCTTCTAAGATATTTGGCAAGCTACAAAGGCAGAACAATTAAAACAAGATTCTGTGTAGGTGTGATTTTATAAGTAATCAGACATCATCAAGATATATTAAAATTACAAAATACCTGTCAATTTCGTTTAATATCTTCTCTTTAGCCTTTTCCTTTGTCTCTTTTTTTCGCAGTGCCTTTTGCCTACATCGCTTATTTAATTCCACACGGGTAACCCTTTTTGTTTTCCTTGCGAATCTGCAGTACAAGAATTTCAAAAACATGAAATCCAACTCGTTGCTGATGGAGTAAGTTAACAAATTATAATTTTATCTTCGACGAATTTATGTTGACATGTAAATAAGAGAGCCTCTTACATGTTCCCAGCCTCTGACACTTCATTCTCAACATCTTCATTATTTTCACCTTCACCAACATTGCCCAGTTCAAGAAAGTACCTCAGGTCTTCTGCAAGTAGTTTTTTTGCAATGGAAACGTTAATTCATGACATAGAAAAAGAAAAGATTACGAAGAAACTAAAAAGTAGAATAATTGAGTAAGCAAACCTTTACTATCATCACCCAACATGTCCACCATTACAGAATCGTCACCAACACTCTGCAAAGAAGGGAGAAATCATAAGAAGATAAGCTCCCCAGGGAAAAGTTCGAGACAAAACATCTTACACATGTAAAAAAATCATATAATCAAATTACTCACTTTTTGAGCTTGTCTAGGTGTTTTGTCTTCTATAACGATTGTCTTCAAGTTTGGCTTTGAAGATGGCACTAACTGGACAAATGGGTTCTTCTTTAAGACATCATCTTCGCCTTCACCAAAATTGTCCACATCAAGAAAGTACCTCTGAGATAGTAAACACAACAGCCATATGGATTAAACTATCAAATTCAATGCACATCTTTCCATTGATTATATTATAACATACAAGCAAAAGACTCACCTCATCTTCACTGAGTGAATCCCCTTCAACAGTCAAAGGAACAGGCGCAGGCCCTAATTCAGTTTTGTAAACTTTCTGCATTTCTTGAGCAACAGCTTCAGCCAACATATCCTGCAATACAAAAAAAAAAGATGAGTGAATGCAAGAACGCACACAAGACTAGGATGATAATAACACAAGCTCAGATCTGTGAAACTTGGTTCATAATAATATTATTACCTGGTGACTTTCAGTTGTAGGGTTGTATGAGCATCCTGGATGTTCAATTTCTACTGCTGGAATAATCGATGGTTTTTTGAAAATCTGTACACCAGAAAAAAAATTAGCCAACTGAGTCCCTGTCTAGAACCAACTAACTTCTGAAACAACTTAATTACAGAAGACACATTACCTTTCTAGGATTGCTCTCATCTTCTCCTGCAAGTAATTTTTTTGCCAAAGGAAACGTTAATTCATGACATAGAAAAGAAAAAGATTAAGAAGAAACTAAAAAGTAGAATAATTGAGTAAGCAAACCTTTACTATCATCACCCCACAAGTCCACCATTACAGAATCGTCACCAACATTCTGCAAAGAAGAGAAAAATCATATGAAATTAGCAAAACATCTTATACATGTAGAAAATCATATCATCAAATTACTCACTTTTTGAACTTGTTTAGGTGCTTTGTCTTCTATAACGATTGTCTTCTTACTCTTCTTCAACTTAGGCTTTGAAGATGGCACTAACTGGACAAATGGATTCTTCTTTAAGATACTGTCAACACGGAGCACTCTCTCTCTATGTTTCTCAATCTTTCGCTTCACCGGAAGGTCTGGTAAGCAAAATCGATTCCAAATCAAACTCACAAAGCCTTACTTCAAACATTAATAATACTTTTTTGCTTCCTAAATATCAAATCCAATCCATAAACATTCTCATAACTCCCATCAAACCTTAACAAGTAGCTAAATAAGTCATCTTCATCAAACTTTACTCTGCTGATGCTAATGTATCGGAAAAATTGAAACTTTGCAGCTGATAAACCTCAAGGGCAAAAAAAAAGAGACAAGTAAGAACTAACCATGGGATTTATCGACGTGGAACAGGTCCTCGCTGGGAGCAGCGGAGAGATTACCGCCGGAGAGAGCATCTTTGGTGGTTTTCTCGAAGAAATCTTCAATGTCCTCGGTGCTTATGTTAGCCCTCCATGCTTTTTTCCCTTTCCTTGAGGTTTTCGACTTCTTCCCCATTTTTTCTCGTTCTCTCTCTCTCTCGGCGGCGCCAAGGTTGCTGCTTCGGTATCGAAAAGATGATTGCAGAAGAAGAGGACACAAGCTAGGGGTAGTAGGGCTTAGAGAGAAACATAATGGGCCTTAAAGTAGCTCCATTTCCTTTAATGGGCCCATATAATCTTCAGATTTTCTTTTTCTCTTTAATTCCTACAACGTACATTCATTTTTCTTTCCACATATATTTAATTTTTTTTTTGTTATATACTACTTTTCTTCATACTGCAACAATAATACTTTTTCATAATCACAGAAAGAACATAAAACTATCTACTAAAACCCCCCAAAAAAATCAGAAAAAAAAAAATTTCAAGTAGGTAGGATAAAACTAAAATTTTAAAAACAAAAAAAAAAATTATACTAAACTAAGATTAACAAAATATAAATCTATATATGATATGAGATCACGTAGATAATTATCATTAATGTGCTGCTATATCAAGGAAATTGATTATAAACTAGAGCTTATATTTTTTGTTAACGTGTGTTCTCTCCCACTTTTGTGGGATCCAACAAATATAAGTTTTGGTTATAATTCGTTTATAATTAGACATGCAAACGTCACGCATATATATGTACATGTGAGCATATGTATGTAGTCATAAACTTAATGATAAACGCGTTTTTTTTTGTCTCTGCAGTATTCTATTTTGATATATATGAGGATGTAAATGATTGAATAATGTCTATTATTTGATCAAATCCAATACAAAAAATCCTATACAAAAAAATATCGAGGAAAAAAAAAAGATTAAAGAACAAAAAATGAGTGATGTTTGATAGCACAAAGCCGCCCCCGTGACCTAATTCTCATTTGATTCTTTTGTCACATTCAAGAGGAGAGTGGGGTAGATCAAATTGCTAAACCCTGACTACAACATATTATTGTAAATTCTTCTTAAGATATATTCAATATTATTTTGTCCTTTTGGTCTCTTCTAAATCCCACGTATGGTCCATCCGATATGTTATATCTTGGAGTTTAATTAATGAGTCGTCCTTAACATTGATGTGCCAACATGGAGAAGAAACAACGAGAGAGAAATATACGTATTACAATATCATGATGATCGTAATGAAAATCCTCCTTTTTCTTAGACACTCAAACACGAGAAAATATGATAATGAAATGGATATGATTCATATGATTGTATTCATACACCATATTGTTTTGACAAACATGAATTATGTATCTTATGATTTTTTCCGGCGGATTTTAAGGTTCTTGCGTTTTCTAATTTTTGTTTTGTAAAAACCGTGTTTAAATTTCTAAACATTTTACTTCTGCATACCTATTTACGATTCTATAGGACCATTATATTTTTTAGTTTTATTTAAAGTTTTCGGTTTTCATTTGCGATTTTGTTTAAATATATATAATTGTAATGAATATAGAAATGACGAAACATATGTGTATATAAGTACATATGCTTTGTATTCTTCTGGATATCCAAATTTATAACAAAATATGATTTATAAATTCAAATACGAACTTAAAAAGAAGAAGTGTAAGTGTAATGTTTGTATCGAGAACAATCAAATGTTAGTTCGATGATGACATCACTTTTTTCTCAAAAACAAGGTAGAACTTCCATTTTTTTTATAACAACTAATAACCTCTATTTTCGAAGAAAAAAAATCTTACATTTAAAAGATCAATTTTTGTTTTTAACAAAACTATGCTACTACAAACTTTTTTAGGTCAATTTCTTATATTAAGAAAAATCAAATAACTATAATTCATAACAATTTAGACCAAAATTTATGCCATATTTATATTAAAACTAGGACTATGGATAATGAGTCAAGTGATCACTCTAAGTTATTGTATATTTAAATATTTATGTTAGCCTTACCTGTATTTGTATACAATCCATTATAATTAAAGGCTAACATTTTTGGTAACTATGTTAAATCACCAAAGGTATCAATTATGTCTTAATATATGGTGATAGTTGATGCATATACATCCTTGTAGTACGAAAATGACTCTAAAAGAATTTTTGTTTTGTCGTCAAATCCCCTATATATTAATAGAGAAACATTTTTTTTTAAAAAACCTTACCATCATGTGTTATTAACAAGATTGTCATGCTGATGTGTCGCTCTCACAATGATTTGGTTTCTATTTAGATAATTACCCAAGATTTATTAGACTATTTACAGAATTTGCCATTAGTCTCATACATCCATATATCCCCAGTAATAATTAAAAACATACACTTTTTGTTTTTCTAATATTACTATATTTTTATATTTATATTTTTCTTTATATACATTTATATAAATTTTCTTTAGCGGATGGGTAAACAATCTTTTTATTTATATTTGTATTTATGTTTATATTTAAATGATAAAATATATACATTTGGTTCAAGAATCTCGAATTCAAAACTACAAAATCTTTACATCTTTCATAAAATTTTTACGTAAATAAATAAGATAATCTCCTTTCTATATATGTTACGAATATTTAAAATCCTATTTTTTCGAGGAGTTCTAACTTTTCGAAGAAAAACATTATAACCACATTTGTATATAAACCAAAAGTTGGCCACATTATAACCATTTCGTAAATAATCTATTAATAATCTAAGAATTGGAACACTACAAAATCTTAGCTTGGAAACCATCAAATCTAATCTTTGCTAAATTTTGGATTTCTTATACTTATTAAAAAAAAAAAATCTTTTTATACTACAAAATCTCGAAATCTTTTAAAACATACGGAAAGACATATTGCCATAAATGGTAATATTTCCTCAATACTTTTTTATCACGTTGAACCTTTATTCAGAGTTCAAATATTTCACGGGTAAAACATATTCTTATATGAAATAGTCCCAAATTTGAATAATAAAAAAAAAAATTGTAAAATGTTTCGTTTTACACAAACGGATCTTGGATCCCGGATAATAATTTTAATCATAATAATTTTACTTGAATCACTTCATCCCGCACATCGTGCGGGTTGTTATCTAGTTGATTATAAAGTAGCTTTTGCTTGAGCTGATAATAACCAATGTCTCGTAATGGTATAAGTCGGACGTATAAATTTACAAGTAGTACAATCAGATCCTTTTCCTAATATGTAGGAAGAAACCAATGATCGTTTTGCAAGTGGAACTATGAATATTGGATTTAATTAATTTTGCTTATACAGTAACATGATTTTATGTGCATATTGTAAAAGCCAAAATGATACTACTAATCTCAATTGTCTCGGGTAAAAATATAATTATGGGGGATAAGACAAGAGAGATATAGCTGTCACAAACACGAGACTCATTCACAATTTCTTTTTAAATGTATATATTTACATAATGACATAAATGAATAGATAATATGATAGGAAAATACTTGTCTTTCTTTTCTTTTCTTCTTCTTTTTTTTTGGACAAATGAAAATACTTGTCTTTCTAAAATGGTCATTTCTAAGCCAAAACCTTAGAAGCGAAACGATGACAAGGTAACTCATTGTAGCCATTAGAATTCAGATGTCGATAGCGACCCTTTCCATATAGTGTAACTCATTTAATCCACGTATATTTAATTTCCAATCAAATTTTTATAAGAAGAAAACTATAGCTAATCAGTGTTGATGCTGTCAAAAAAAAAAAAAAGCTAATCAATGTTGATAAAGGTTATAAACTACATCTTATATTGGAAAAAACTATAGCATACATATATATATATATATATATATATATATATATATATATATATATATGTAAAAGTTATAAACCCATCATTTATAATACTAATCATCAGCTTAAAAATTCTGTTAGAACATCATGTATAAACATTATACAAAATGTATAAACCGATCAACAGTATCATGTATAGACTCTAGCTATTATGTAAATTGGATTTTGAACCCTGATGATGTGGTTTCTGGTCCAAGTCAGTCAACAGCAAACATCAATTGTGATTATGTGACTCATTATTTATCATATTTATATTACTCATAGTGATCATTTATCATAATATGTATATCTATCGACCATACACATGGATCATGGAGTAGACGAGAGGTGAATAAAATCAAGGGTTTTGCACCAAACCCTAAATTAAAGGAAACAAAAGAAACAGGGTGTATAGGAGAGGAAATAGTAAAAATGTCCAAATGAATGAAGCTATAGACGTGAAAGAAAGAGGGTTTGATGAAGCAACGGGACTTGTGTGTAGAGTGTTGTTTTGTTGTGATGATTAATTGGCACACATGTGAATTGGTGGGTACGTTTATTTGTCCGTCTCCAATATAGACAATCTTGTATATCCTATACCATTGCTAATCTATCCAAAATTATATACTTACATGTATCTATACGCTTACATATACGAACAACTTCGTATATGCATACATAAGTTTGCCGAGTAACTTCATGTAAATAGATTTGCTTTTTTAGATTGATCCATCAAATCATTCTATATGTAATGTGAAGGCAAATTGTTAGGCATCAACCTTTATATGATTTGTGTGTTTGAAAGATGTGACTTTACATTGTTAGTTGTTCAAAAATGGGGTTTGTGTTGTTAATGCGTAGATCCACATATATATACGCGTTGTATACGGCATGCAAATACATATATACATATAGAGAGAGAACGAAAGAGAGCGCGATAGAGAGGACAAGGAGAGATGAGGAATAGGTGAAGAGAGAGGAGGATATATGTGTGGGTATTTGTTCATAAAGATCCCCGTGAGGAGTGTTTGGAGGCATTCCAAAATCACAACTAACATTCTTTTGTTTGCTTTTATCCTCACCTTCACTTCTTTCGATGCTCCCAAATTTATTTTCATTTCTTTTAATTTGATTTCACAAATATTAATTCTTCCCCCATATATTACGAGCTCATCATTCCCTTTCTCGTCCCATTTTATTTTTACTTTTACTATCTATACAATTATCATTATGTAAGTGGCCCATCTATATATTTAACCGCAACCTAGTCATCCCAAGTTCAAATGATTTGGTTCTTGTTGTTACAATCATAACGAGTTGGTAGTAATGGTACTTGCATATATTTTAATTTGCGATTGAATATAAATTGCATCCAAAAAAGAGATGGTGATGTTTTTTTGCTAGTTATGCTATTCAATTTAGATATGTAAATATGTGTACAGCGTGAATAAAATTACTTTGATTTAGAATTTATAGTTGAATGACTAGCTAGCTAATATGTATTCTTTTTTAACAACTCTATTAGTATATATATACATACATGATAAAGTCCTTTGATATGATCAACATGTACTTTTTACATGAATATGAAGAGTACATCATATCACTATGAGTAGATAAATGGAGTTTTGTAATCATATATATCTTTTTATCCGTTTCCAAAAATTCAAAGCTGGCGATAGTTGTTATCAATTATGGTGATTTTTCTTGGAGGTGTTAGAACAGTATTAAGACAAAGAGGGAAACTAAAATCACGTCAATAAATTTAAAGTAAATAAAACGGTGGTATTTCATCACAGTGAGAGTTTACCGTCAATACACATCAAAACATAGTGATTAATTTACAAGATTCAAGTTGGTAGGTAAGGGTATAGACACGTACATATGTATATTTATACGTATTTATGATATAAATATTGTATAAATATAAGATAATATATTCATATAAGAAAACAAAATAAAAATTGTGTGGAATAATTAAATAGAATATCGTATATTGAGACATAGAGGCAAGCAAGTAATTCACGAGATACAAATCGGAGTTGTCCGTATATTATATTTTGTAGCGATCAAGAGAGACTAAGGCAGACATGTGAGAGGGGAGAGGATCCTATAAACAATTTAATCTAAGATCTCTGCTTTCTTCTTCTCATATATATATTGCATATTTACACATAGTTCCTCTATATAGAAATCTATCGAGAAAACTCACGAAACAAGAGGCTGATCAAAAGCATAGAAGAAGAATGGTTTCAAGGGAACAGAAGAGAGGTTCTTTGCAAGAGAAGTTTCAATTGCTTCGTTCAATCACTAATTCTCATGCTGTAATTATTACATCACTCTCTCTTTCTTTCTCTTTTTTTTGTCCGACGGAGATAAACGCAATCATATGTCTACGTATATAAATCCTGTTATTCACACACACACACACATGCGCTGTTACACACACAATCTTAATCGATCTATATATAGATTATTACTATTATTTTTCACTCGGTCACAATTTTGATTGTCCCTTTGGATCATTTTCTATCACAGTTTGGGTATTTGAATCCCTTTGGATCTTCTTCAATATTCCAGTTTGCTTTTATTTAGTTATTTGGGTAATCACTTGATTTTCTAAGCATATATAGAAGAATATGTTATTACAAACGTGATATATATAGGCCATTGAAGTTGAATATTCTCTTCTCGGCTAAATTTATAATTCTAGATTTTGAGATGTCGTATTTGCTACTGATATGTGTGGGGGCACACGTGTTTTGATGACAGGAAAACGATACATCGATCATAATGGATGCATCAAAATATATCCAAAAGCTTAAGCAGAAAGTTGAAAGATTCAACCAAGACCCTACTGCAGAGCAATCTTCAAGCGAGCCCACGGATCCGACGACACCAATGGTATAAACAATCACAAACATATAAATAATCATTTGGATCCATTATATATATATTAAGTACGACTGTGATTAATATATGAGAGATTCATTAAGAGGTATTTGATTGGGCAAATTTTCTAGGTAACCGTGGAAACCCTAGAAAAGGGTTTTATGATAAACGTATTCTCAGGGAAGAATCAGCCAGGGATGCTTGTATCGGTATTAGAAGCCTTTGAGGATATTGGGCTTAACGTTCTTGAAGCTAGGGTTTCATGTACCGACTCCTTTAGCTTGCATGCCATGGGACTCGAGGTAATTAACTAATTGTAACACCATCATCATATACATTCTTATCCATAAATTATTTACCTATATATGTTGGGCAGTGGTGTAAGTATGAAGTACTTGAAACAAAAGAACTGATTCTGCTTCTGCAACGGTGTCATCATATGTGTTTACGAGATCTTATGTGGTTACACTTACTTATTTATTACAAATATTGAAATTCATGCTTGTGCTTTTGGTGGTGAATCATACATACTGTATATTATAATATAAATTGGGAAATCACAACACAAACACGCACACGCATACAAAATGTAAACATGTGTTGTCTATGTCGATGTGTGTGTGTTGGCATGTATATATAATTTATTTAATGATTACGTCACTGTTAATAATAAAAATGTAGAATGAAGATGGAGAAAATATGGATGCTGAAGCAGTGAAACAGGCAGTCACAGATGCAATCAGGAGCTGGGGTGAAAGCAATGATCCACAGAACTAGATTGACCCACTTTTTCAAAATTTCCTTTTTATTTATTTCTTATTATATATACAAAATATAAGGAAATAACACAGTTTATATAGTATTTCTACTTTTTTTTTCTTGTTTTTTTTTTCCTGTCCATCTTGCTGTAGCCCTCTTAAAAAGGGATAATGAGGAAAATTCAATTGTATGTTTTTTTTAATTTCTTTTAAGCAATAGAAAATACGTTTAAAGCATAGTCACCTAACATATAAACTGATCAGACAGTTATAATTTTGTTCATTTTAAATTAGAATATCAGTAAGAAAAAACGCTAAGTATTGTTTCTGAATTCAGTATAGAAGTAGAACTTATTACTATTTTGGATTTGATCAGAAGATATTAGAGAACTTGTTTTCTACAACAGAAGAAGACAAGCATTTTTGTTCACGTGAGCAAAATAACTCCATAAAACCTGGAAAGTAAAACGTACAAATACATCCGTTCGTCCCACGATTGATACTTTACTTAAGCACAATTAAGTGTACATGATCATCTGATTTTACATAGCACAAGATGATTAATGAGACAACGTATTTCTTAGAGAAAAAAAAATTAGGGTTAGGGTTCCTCAATCCGGATAAGTGAAGTGGTCTATTCGAACCAAATTACAGTTTCCAATTTGAAACCTGAGTGTAAATTTTTAAATTTTTTATAAAAGTCAAAACAGGATTCTTCTAACGACATTTCTTCCATATGTGTTGTCATAAACTCAGAGACAGCATCTTTAAGGATTTTCTCCTAGGGAATATCTGCAAGCTCGAGGACATTGAGTGCATTTGATGAATCCATGGAGGCAATGAGCTGGTTTCTGTAGAGTTCTTGAAGGTACGGATAATTGACACTCAAATATGGAAGACACTCAAATAATTGTGAACACATCAAACTAGTGACCAAATTGGCAGTGGTTGAATCTAATTAGTCATAAGTCTAATTGTGCATATGGACTGAATATGGAAGTCATTACTCAAAATCAATTTGCAATTTAGCAAATTGATCCTCCTAATTACATGAAGTCGGCTTCTTTTTAGGAGACTAGTTCCCTAACCACTTAATTCAACGCAATAGAAAAGTATTTTCCAAACCGGAGAAAGATGCAGAGGAACTAAAGAAACAGATATCAAACGAGAAGAAAGTACATAAAGTCAAACTCCAATACTCACTTTAAGCTCCTCAGATTCGTCCTTTTTGCGACAGTTTTGCTTGCTGGACAAGCAATCTACGTTTTAATTAATTGTACCTTCTTTTTTTTAATCAATGGAAAATATATTTTATTGAAGCGGAAACGGGTCTAAAAACTTCCAAGTTTTTCAAAGATTTTCCAAGTTTGAGAAACCATTGAAGCCAAATCATTTAAAGAGTTTTGCATGGAAACACCAAAAGCTAAACAATGGTTCTTCTATTCTATCAGTAACGGTACTGATGACAATATCGACCATTGCCTCTAAAGATTCTAGCACCCAAATTGGTTATGATATTATTGAAGGCGGAATCATGGAGGGCATCGTCAAAAGGGATTTGGGCGAGCTCAAGGATGTCAAGAGCATTTGAAGAGTTAAGATATGATATAAGCTCGCTTCTGCATAGATCCCGTAGATGCGGAATGCCATATTTGTCAGCCGCAAGATAGAGTGACCTAACGTGTTGCTTCTCTTTTTCTGAAAGCATAGAGCCGTCGCTGTATAAGAATTCAAGGAAAGCCTCTAATTCTTCGTGTTTCATCTCACAGAGAGTGATTGTCTCTAGCTGAGCCGAAGTCTTGATCTCGTCTGATTCCAACATCTTCTTAAACACCTCTGATCTTGCAGACTATTAATTATTTCAAGGAAAAGAGCATTAACAATGAAAATCAGTTCAAGTAAGATCATTTCGATGAGTTTTTCTTTATTATGAAATCAGATGATGATTTTAAAAATAGAATTAAGGGAGAAAAGAAGTAGAGACCAGAACAAGCTTATGGGCAGAAATAGAAGCACCCCCCTCACCACTGTCCCCTGCCTTTAGACGTACATCGACTTGACGTTGTTCTTTCAAAATCTTTGCAAATCCACCCACGAAAAGCTCTTTGTTGGTTTCTGTTGCCATGTTTTTTAAGTATATATCGTCAATATGATTTAGTTAACGATTGTGGGCAGGTAATTATATAGAGAGAAGAAGAACCTAGACGGTCAAAATTACTATTTTGCTTTCTTTTCCAAAGAGTTTTGGATTTGATCATCAAGGAGACATTAATTAATACATTAAAACTCGTAATTTAATTTGCGCTCATTAATAGGAAATTTAATCAAACAATGCAGATGTTTCAGCAAGTGGCAAAGGAAAAGACTAATCAGTACTAGTGTTTTCGGAAACTAAAATTTGTTTGGGATCATTGGGTACTATGTATCTTTATATTAGACTCCTAGACTGGTTAAGAGACTAAAATAAGACAAGAATTAACATCAGAAACACCTACTGTTGGCTTGACTGACAGGCTACCTTAAATGTGATCACAAAACCAAAGACTCAGTTATATTGAAACTCCTTCCGATGCGCGGATTCACTTCAGATGATGATTGACTCCATAATCAGAAACAGAGTTTCGATCCTCATTATCTCTGTTGACACTAGTGTTATGGTTTTACCTCTTCTCACTGTCTCTTGCACTTGTGTGTATGGAAAGACCAAACAAGAATATAAAAGACACTAAGATATATTGTTTGCTTTTTTTCTTTTCTTATCCCAATGCTCAATAATCTTTCCTAGAGGCGGCGTTAGACACAAAATTGGCAAACTATGGATACTATGCAAATGGTGATATCCGCAAAGTCGATGTTGCAACGATTATGTCAACTAACTTGAAAATGATAAAACCGTTTATCAAAAAGAGATGAAACAATTTAAAAATAAAAAGAGAGATGAAACAACAAAAAGCAACACTATATATGGTTCTTTTAGCAGGAGAGACCACAGTAACCACATTTTTTTGTTATACTTGCACGAGTTACATAAGCCTTCATTATCTCCACGGCAAGATTTGGGTGATTGACGACAAACAGCTTGAACTCATCACAACTAGCAATGGTATTCATATTGGTTAAAATAGTAGTGAAAGCGGCATCATTGAGGGCTTTGTCAAAAGGGATTTGGGCGAGCTCCAGGATGCTAAGAGCATTCGACGAATTCAAAGATGATATAAGCTCGTTTCTGCATAGGTCTCTTAGAAGCGGAATCTCATATTTGTCGGCTGCAAGAAAGAGTGACCGAGCATGTTTCTTGACACTAGCAGAACAAATGGAGCCATCAACGCTATAGATGAACTCCACTAAAGCCTCTACTTCTTCGTGTTTCATCTCCGAGAGAGTGACTGTCTCAACCAGCTTAGCTGAAGCCTTGAACTCGTCTGATTCCAATATGTTCTTAAACACCTCTGATCTTGCTACCTATTCAAAATTCCATTTATGTTAACAATGAAAACATCTCAAGTAAGAGCCACTCTCAAAAGCATTGCTACACCATAAGCATAATTTCTGTAATTGTTTCCTAATTTGGATCATGATAAATTAAAGAGAAGAGGAAGTTGAGAAACCAAGACAAGCTTGTGGGCAAAGATGGATGCACTCTCATCACTGTCTCCTGCCTTGAGGCGTACATCGGCTTGCCATTTTTCATTCAAGAGTTTCTTAAATCCACCTAAGAAAACCTCTTTGTTGCTTTGTGTTGCCATTGCAGTCTGCAAACCAAATATATAAAACCTTACGGCACTATACTTTGTATATGTAACTCTATGAGAATTGAGAAACGTTCGCGTACCAGAACAATTATCGAGGAGAACTCGAGGAATGCTCTTTTACGTGGCAGAGATGAAGTATTTGAGACGGAGACAACAAGGCCAGGCCGGTGATTCGACTGATCGTGAAAGAGAAGCTAAGGGTTTAGGGTTTAATGGTATTTACATCTTTTAACTTTAAAATCTACTCATAATAAATAAATTATATTTTTAATACCTACTAAAATACTTGAAATCACAAACATAACCAGTAAAACCTAATTCTTTAATTTTAAAATACAAAAAAAAATGGTTCGTTCATCTTCTGCGATGGAGACTTAAGGTTAACAAATAACAACTAAACCTAACTATTTAGTTATAAAATCCAGCAACATACTTAACCGAATGGGCTTTAATAAAGCCCATAAAACATTCTTCTGTTGGGCTGAAACCAAAACCAACAAACGCCAATAAACCAATCGAGTTAAACGGGTCCAATTAATTAATCGAGTTACGTAACAACAGAGGAATATTCAGATGACGGAGAACGGAAGTTGATCATTGTGATTGCGCCAACGTCGTCTCAGTCTCTTCTTCCGTTAATGAGGCATGCCGAATCTCCCGTCTTCTCTTCTCTTGGGAACTTGATGTTTGAGAAATGTTCCACGCTTAGGCTTGATGACAAAATTCTTGAGCTGTTCTCTATTTACACCGTAAGAATAAAGGAGTTAAAGAAACTTCTTCTGTAATGGCCAACCAAGCTACAGCTTTAATCTGTTATCCTTCTTTATCTTCTTGTGGCATGTTCTGTTTCTGAAAAGGATCTAACTGTAAGCAAAATAAATGAGTAATAAACTCATGAAAGTAATCACATCCATCGAATTTTTTTTAAGCAAAGGTGTGAGTGGAGACTGGAGAGGTTGGTATATCGAAAACATTTTGGGTGTTCGATGTAAAGTATGAGCCTTTCGTAATTTTTGCTAATGTTTCGATCGAAAGATGTGACAGGAATTAAACACAATGAGCACATGAGAACAGAACAAAATCCTTAATTACGAGCAGCTCAGGAAGCTGTAGCTATTTACTCACAATGACATGATATTTTTGCTGTTTTCTTGTCACTCACTTTACTGATAACAGTGTTCTGCCATTATTTCTGAGAGACTAGTGCATTGCCTCGTTGAAACAGAGCATGCTTATATATATTTTTCATCTTTGTTGGATTTATAAGATTTTTAAACTTGAACCTCAAATTTTTCATGAGATAGTATTAGAATTTGCACCTACCACTATAGTAATGTTTGACAACATTTCCCATATTTACCCTAAAATGGGTTCAACTTGTTTAACTAGTGTGGTAAAATCTAACTTCTGTTTAATTTTGATATTACAGTGCATACGATCCCTAAGGACTATCGAACAGTGAAGAGCTTAATTCAAAGATGTTGATTAATTTGAGCTGGCAGAAAAAGGAGGTAACATCTAGTGGCGGCCTATAGTAAGTAAAATTACTGTTTCTCACTCTTTAAAAGATAAAAGAGTGGTCCACAAGCAAATTAAGTTTCGTGATAGGCTCTGTTTCACTGGCCCATAATACACATATATCCACATTCTTTGTGTATACAAAAGATGGTTGTAAATAGACATATGGAAGGACAAAACAAGTCATAATAGAAAGCTTAGGAACCTATGAATGGTGGAACCAGCAAGGTCTTGTCGCGTCGAGTAATCTGTTGGAAACATTATCTTTAACAGTCAACAGTACTATGCACCACTTTGGCACTGGCTGTGTTGTAGTCAAGAGAAATAAAGAGTAGTGTGAAGTAAGAAAGAATCTTTTCCTATTAGTGGTTATACGTTTAACCCTTAACTTCTCTCAATGTCCTTCTCATAGGTATCCAATAGCGAAAACCTAAGTTACTTCAAGCTCATGTTTCAACTCTTTGCAAGTTGCAATGTGAGGACAACAAAGCAAGCCTGTCAAATCGTTTTCAGCGGTATCCTTAACCCTCGTGCAAATCTTTTGTGATCATTTAATCTTCTTTTGTACTCTTTGCTCCATTCTCACGGCTCTCGATCAAATGCTAACAAACCGTCAGGCTTTTTCGGGTGTACCTGGACTTATTTCTTGGGACTGTTCACAGTCACGGTGAACCGCGAGTGCATAAGATTCCCGAAGGACCGGAATATTCATGAAAAGGATCAGTATCACTGGAAATGTTGAATTTCCGGAATTATGAAATGTAGAGTTTATGTTATGGTTAACAAACTTTATTTATATCGTGTAATCTCAAACACTTTTTGCTACATTTAGGTTAGAGATAAGTTTGACAACCTTGTAACAACACAATGAGTCAATGATACCATTGAGTTATTGCATCTTTAAAAAACGTGGTTTCATTATTTGGATTTTGGACCCAATGTCATTTTATTGGGCAGTCTTCTACGGTAAAGTCAAATCTTAGAAATGGTTGGAAATATTTAATTTGCATTCCTTCTTTGGTTATGTTTGTTACGTGTTGTTCTCAGCATCTCACGCTCCATAATATCTGAGCTCATCAAATAACAAAACCATTTTCTTGTCATTTTTAAAACAGTTTTAAAAATAAATTTTAAACTTTTTTTTAAAGTATATAGCCCCGCGGTGTACCGCGGGTTAATTTCTAGTTTTTTACATATTCTAAAATTATTTGAATATATTAATGTATCTCGTTTTAAAATACTATTAATTAAACTATAACAACTTAAACTCAATTGTGCCAGAAAAAAAAAAAAACCAAACATCTTAAGCTCAATTTTACTCTATTTAGTTAAATAGTAAATAAGACTTGTTGGTAAATTAACCTGAAAATTAGAAAGTGACAATTCTTTTCAAAATAACTATAACATGATATTTCTGTGAATTGAAAGAAGTAAATGTAAAAATGTTTCTAGTTTAGTGATGAGTTTTACGAAATTACACAAAGTTAAGATATATAGCTTCGATATATATTAAAGTGGTGGATGCATTTATGGAGACTATCTCATCAAGTTCCATGCATGTTTCCCTTTCTCTAATTGTAATGACAAGGGCCATCAAGGCTTAAATCCTCGAGTGGGGCAAGATATCACAAGCCTTTTGGACCACACTATTTTTTCTCTCAATCGTTCCAATTCTATTGGATGCATCAAACGCGTCTTTGGACCACAATCACTTTTGATTTTCACTGCAAGCTTCATCTGTTCATGCTTCAAACATAATGGAATGTCTCATAAATTTTACTTTTGATCCAAGATACTTGATTTGTCATAAATTGTAAGTCGGCAACTGCAAGTGAAAGGGTCATACTCATACATATAGTTGTTCTTGTTGATGCACGAATTTCAACAAAGTATATTTGTAAGTTCTTTGATAAGGGAAAAACATTCTCATTGCGTTGAAGGTCGGGAGTTAGGCCGTTCTCGCGATAAACATAGAGTTTATTTGTTTTATAGCTGCGTCTTGTGAAAGACTGCCTACGTACCCTTAGAAAGGAATCAAGCCATTCGTAGTTCATATTAAAACAAGTGGGAGCTAGGCCATATTTGCGGCTAGGCGATCTGTTGACGTGCTGGATAGCTTGGGGACGATTTGGACGAGCCGAGCTGTTAACTGAGAAGTTGGACGAGCTGAGTAGTCAGCAGAGAAGCTGGACGAGCTGAGTAGTCAGCAGAGAAGCTGGATGAGCTGAGCAGTCAGCTGAGAAGCTAGACGAGCCGGGAGATGAGATTGACGATCTGGATCGTTAGGCGAGCTGAAGAGCTTGAAGACGAGCTGAAGAGCTTGATGACGAACTGAGGAGCTTGAAGACGAGATGAATAGCTTGCAGACGAGCTGAAGAGCTTGATGACGAGCTGAAGAGCTTGATGACGAGCTGAAGAGCTTGCAGACGAGCTGAAGAGCTTGATGACGAGCTGAAGAGCTTGATGACGAGCTGAAGAGTTTGATGACGAGCTGAAGAGCTTGAAGACGTTTTTAGTATGGATTTCTTCTCCTTTTTTCCTCCCTCTCTCTTCAATGAGATGCCTCTCTATTTATAGGAAAACTAAGCTGCTGAGAGAAACATGGACCAACTTTTATGGACTTTTTTAGGGCTTGATGTTTATTAAGTTATTCTTGATTTGGGCCGAGCTAAAATAAGGGATGCAATCCAGCCCCCAACAGTTCTCTGGTGAGAATATCTGGATATTTTGTCTTGATTCTAAGGAAACAATTTTCAAGATTATAGTATCAACCAAAACTTGAACCCGAAAGAAAAATTTCAACTTTCCGTTCTTATTAGTTCCACTATATTAAAAAAAATAGAACCAAACTGTATCCGTTTTTATATGTATTCCGTACAAATCCAATTTAATTGTGCATTTATCCTAACCATGTGGTACATAGATAGTGCACGTGTGGTATTAAGATGGTAGGTTGTATTTCTGGTGAGGCTTAAGTAGCTCGTAGAATTAGGAAACTTAATTAAGCAACTCGGATCATGTAGACTCTAACTCGCATGAATGTGAAATCTTGCTGTCTTCCACCAATTAAGGATCATTAAATTATCTTGAAAAAGTAACTTAGTGAGAAAAACTAATTCTTCCTGTTTTCGCCGTTCAGTTAAATTAAAAAAAATCATCAACCGAAGAAACTAGTATAGAAAACACCATGAAGTTTTTTTTAAAGCAAAGATATGACGAAAGACGAAACTATGCTTGGAAAACGTAAAAAACTAAAATATATATGCAATATAGACGTTTTTTGTTGGAAATATTTATGATATTTTTTTCTACAACTTTTATACGCCTCTTCCAATGTGTATTTTTAGCATTGTCGGTCAATTTCATACAAATACGCTTAGTATCATTAACAGAAGAAAAAAAATGAATACGCTAATGACATCAAGCGTTGAGGCATAAACTGATACAAAAAATGATAATCCTATACGGTTTATTGAGTTGTTGTTTTTTTGGTTCACAGGATGGCATAGGTTTATAATAAACGTTTAATTGAGTGATTCTTATTTCTTATCATTGGAACAAAAAGATGCTATATCGCTACCTATTGCTGACCAGAATTTTCGGCCAAAAATACATAGGACTTATGTTTGGTATTTTATTCCATATTTAAACTATAATAAACAACGAACCAATTAAAAAAATTGTACATGCCATCCAAGGATTTATAATGGTGAT